ATGATTCAGTACAACCCAATGATAGAGTCAGAAGGCACACTATCACTGTCTTGAAATCTTGAAGCACAATATTGCCCTGGTTCAGCTTAACTGCATATCTTATAAAGTTCTCTTTTTTCCCCTCTGCAAAATGCTAAAAAATAAGTCTATTCCAGACTGATCAAGTGTCCACATACTAGAGGAAAAGAGGAGCTCTTGATCTTCTCCTTTGTTACTATGACTCTCAAGCCTCACTGTTTAGACACTCATTTCAGACAACCAGCAACTACAGCAAAGTATACTCACCAGAGGAATTCTGAAATACTAATTCAGAACTGCTGCTGCACAACTATGGTTTTTGTTCAGTCTTTTGGATGCAGGAAAGCTAACAAACAGGACATATGGCAATCTGCCATCGACTGGTTAGAGCAGACAGGTTTGGGAAATATGCCTTTGCTAACAATAACCAAGGGAGAAGACATCATGTGTCCTATGTACCTACTTCTTCTTGAGAAATTTGGGTATTTTGCCAATCCACTCAAGGCCAGGCACAGGTATGCAGTGGGAAGCCAAAAGAAAAGGAAGCAGAGTAAAAATGGAAGTTGCAAAAGCCAAAGAGATTAGTAAACACTGCTCACTCACACCACCACTATAAGCCCTGCTGTGCCTATTTGAAAGGTGAAACAGCCAACTGACTAGTCATTATCTTTATATGTGCTAAGGAAAGTACCCTAAGGGCAATTCAGCAGCAGTAAAGTATATACTAGTACACTAAAAGTGACATGCTAATTGCAAGCATCAGTGACACTGGAACACCATAACTTTGATCTCTCTCCATTTGTAGACACTAGAACTTGTGTTTCTATATCAAATTTAATTTTCTGTAACTAAAACAAGCCAGGTCAGGTATCTTTATTGAGTTACTGCTCTTAATATTTACTTAGAGGGAATACTACATGGCTCTACACAAATAGCTGACAAACCTAGCAACATCTCCATAAAAGCTTGAGATGGCACTTCTGTACAAGTCATTCACCCCAGGAAAGTGCCATGCAGTAGCTCATTGCAAGCTTCTGTGTCTAGCTTAAATGAAATGTCTAACGCTGCCTTAGGAATGGATTGCCTTACAAAGAGGCACAGAAAAAAAGCACATGTTAATATTTAACTAGAATATTTTTATATAACCAGTGATTGTCATGCATAATTTACAGATATTTAAGTGCTACAAACTTGAATGATGTGCCCACTCTTACATGCATCTTTCAACAAATATGAATCAGATTTGCTAAGCACACCATGTTTGTGATCCTCTGATTACTGCTGCTGGTTCAGCAAAGCAAAGTGCATACATACTATAAAAGTTGTCAAGGAGAGCCTAAGGCATTTAAATCTAAAAAGGGCTGCTTTCAGCATGACCTATAGCAAACAAGATGAATCAGACCGCAAAAATGGTTTTATTAACCTCAGGTAAGAAAACAGAAACTTATAAATAATTAAGTAGTTGTTGGCTTCTGCTATTGTGTATTGGCTTTGCAAATTATTATTAACTATTTTGATATAGTACAGTTTGTAATCACATTTAACTGCTTTTGATATAGTATAATTTGTCAGCTTTTTGTGGCCAATGCTCTGGCCCCTTATGTAGCTTGTATTCTCAGAACATCATTTATAGATTATATTTTAGTTTATGAACAGTACGATAAACATATATTTTAGCTTTCACTAAATGTTAACTTTAACAGAAGTAACTGCAGCTGTGAAATAACTAAGGCTTCTGTTTTTGTAACTAACTGACAATAATGAAAATAATTCAGATATATTTGTAAAATAGCTAATGTTGATTGAAAGTACTTGTGGAAATAACTAAAGCTGCCTGCATGGTCAGGTAACATTCAAGGAATGGATGTGATAAGGATTCCTGCCACTGACCATTTGGCTATTGATAACTGTTGCCTGTTGAAAACATGAAATGAAGGCCATGGTGAGGAAGTGACACATGACTCTCAAAAAGACAATACACATTACTGCATGTACTCTAAAAAGCAAGCCTAAGGTTGAACCAAGGTAAGGAATTCTCAAAACATGTAAATGAGTTTAAAGAAATATTTGAATATGTATCATTTTTATGGATATGTATTTGAACAATACAATGGGAAAGGTCTATAAGAAGAGTTGTTGCAATTAACTGGGGTGCCTCTAGCTACAGCTATGCACCCAGCACTGTTTACTGTCCCTTTTATCCCTTATTTGACCTTTAAAATAATTTTTAAAGAATGAGTCTCATTTCTCACAGAAACCTTACTGAAACTAACCATAACTTAAGGGCACTTTACTCTTTTAGACACTCAATCCTAAATTCATTGGTTTATATTCCCGATATGGTATGTATTGTAACACTTATTACCACTGAAAAATAAAAACTAATTACTGTTTTTCTCTCATGCACCCATGTTGTAACATAGTAGGAATATGCAAACAGTTGGAATCATCAGACTTACATGAAACAGTACTGGAACACCATATGCAATGTATTTGTCTCAAACATTCTCAGCCTCCAGAAAATGGGCTTCCAGAAATAAAGGCTGTTTTCTTGAGCTTAGTCTTCCAGAAGTTCCTGCAAAGTGGTGTTTTCAACCCACTCTGAACCAAACATACACATGCCAGCACTATAAAGAACTTACACAGCTACAGCTTGTTCCTTAATCTTCATGTGGGAAAAAATCAACTACTTCAAATGTTTCTTCTTCCAGTTTTACTGTTAAGGAGGAAATGGAAGCACGGATTGATTACCTAAGTTCTGTACCATTTCCAAAGTATACTTTAGAAGCTTCCATCTTACACCCATCTGTTCAGCACACACAGACTTACTCTATTTTAGAAGGAGTCCAATCTACCGGAGGATGCTCCATACTGAAACTATTTTATACTTTTGATTAATAAAAAAATCATAAGAAAAAATGAGAAGGGATAAGATAACCAATCACAAAATATAATATGAATAACGGAAACCCACAAGGGATTTTTACACTATTCTTGTTGTTTGCAATGAAATAATAAAATATTAGATTTATTTTTTTGACTGTAGAATCATGCATGAATCTTTAAAAACATTCAAATGCAACCTCAAGTTTTACTACTATAGAGGAATAATAAGTTCAATTCAGAACATGATTTTACATGCAACACTACAACTGTCCTGTTTTCATTCTTCTTTTACATTCCTACCTGCCTATTTAATCTATGCAAACAAAAGTAGGTGGTATTAGGTGTGCCACTAATAATTTTGTCAACTGATGCAGAAATTACTCTGGGTTACAGCTTGAGAGACTACTGACCTCTTCCAGCTTCTTGTAAAAAACTTCCTGCAATCCACCTCTCTCCTCTTAGTGGGCTATTAAGTGAAAGGTTAATGCCCTTGGGCACCTGGCCTCTGTGTGGGCACAGGACCTAAGATCATCAGAAACCCTGGAAGATTTACTGGATCACTGCATTAAGGTCATACACCTCTACAGGACAATATCCCCCTTTAAACTATCCTACCCTTCTTTGACCACTTGCTAACTTCTTGTTTACAGCTTCCTGTGCACACCAAAGCCTCATCTGATAGCGTAAGCCCCACAAGCAAGTACATGCTCAAGTGAGCACTCCAAGGCAAGCTCTGACCAAACAGGAGAGCCCTCTCTTATCACTCTGTTGCAGCAGTAACAGAAAAGCGGATCATGTCAGCAGTAGGAAATACAAACCTAATAGCTGATCAGTTAAGAGATTAAAAAAAAAAAATCTTGCTTCCAATATAGAAGTCTGAGGTGCCAAAACACAGGGAAGAATACAAGGTAAGCAATCACTATGCCATTGCTCCCCCAGTCTCTTCTCATACACAAAATCCTATTTTTTTCTTTAAGCATAAGCTAACTCCTGTTTTTCCAGCATCTCCAAAACCCAGAAAGACTGTTTCAGGACCATTTCAGTCATCACAACCAATTCAAATTTGTTCCACACTCCTCTTAACACTTAAGAAACACTTTAAGACTCCCAAAGAAGTTAAACTAAATACTTGGAGTTGGCTGGCACTAGCTCTGGGACATAGCAGCTTCTCTAAGAAACCACCCCTGTATCCCCTGCCACACATACTCTGTACTGCTCTACTGCCTATCCATGCACTTGCTCCTCTACCACCAACAGCTATTCACATTTCGTCTTCCTATGGCTACTGAAAAATACCATGCATGCTACTGGAAAATTATACAGAACACATGCCAGAAGAGCAAAGGAGCACACAAAACAGTAAGCACAACTACACACATCTACTTAAAAACTACACAGAGAGAGATGTTTTAACTAAGATGGTATATAGAACTTCTGGAAAAAGAGGTCTCTGTAAAGGTAATGGCACTCAAGCCATCCAAATTATTCTGAACATACTTCTAACATTTCAAGTAATACTCAAGCACTGAGTTTAGAGCACTGAAGTCTGAAGTGTCAGAGGCTTTATTCTTGTTTACACAGTATCTTGCTGCAATTGAACTGGCAGATAAGTACCCAAGATTTAAAAATTCTTAATAATGAGAAAAATTGATAGAGTGATTTTAATATTCCTGCATATATTTAAATAGATGCACAGTTTTTATTTGCTTTCATGCCACAGCTAAAACATTTCCTTTGCTATTCTAAAACAAATCCTTTGCTATCCAATTTCTAAGGCAGATTTCAAATTTTTTTCTTTGTTGGGATACAAAGACTTCAGAAACAAATAAAAGCCAATTGACACAGAAAAAAAAAAGACAATCTCCCATAAGCAGAAACAAATACACAATTAGGCATCTATCCATACATTAATATAACAAGCTTTCACAAACTGGAAAAAAAAAAAAAAACAGGGTCCAGACAGGATTTAATGTTTATAATTCATTACAATAAATTTATTCTAGGAAAAGCACAAAAACTGCAGCAGCATTACCAAACTCATTACCCCAGGTTAACAAATACGTTATACAACCAAATACAAGGTTAGTCAAACTCACCTTCCCTCGTTGATTTTTGCTTTGTCCCCATGGCAAGTGAAGTTCTCAATGTAGCCCAGGCTGCAGTTTATCCGTGTCCAGTCAGGCTGGCACACAGCAATGAAGTGAGGACGCAGTCTACCTATGGAGTACTTGGCAATGTCTGTCAATGACTGGCTAGCAGCTGCCCCAAAAATGAAGGTCCCAATGGCTTTGTAAATAGTGGCTATGTAGTTATTTCTGACAAACGAATTTGAGTGCAAATTATTATAAAAGACCGAGAGAGTCTCTCCTACGATTATCTGAAAAAGAAATAAGGAGAAAAAGTTAAAGATAATAACATTAAAAGAAAAGTATTATGCTATTTTTGTTAATACTCAGACTGTTTCAGAAACTATTTTTTTATAAACATTAAGCTGCAAATTTAATTTTTCCAAGAGTCAGCAACAATCATGTCCAAATATTATAAACACTTTCACACAGAAGAGAAACAGCCTTTCACTTTCCCCTACCTCATGCTGAACTTAATCATATCATTTTCAGAATACTTATTAAAACAAAGCCTTCTCAGAATAACATTTAACCTTATTACTTGGTGTGGCCCTAATAAGAAACATTTTCTCCTGCAGAACTTCATTTTACATGGAGTCTTCTTCAGCTAACGTCTACTGAGTAAAATTTTTCAAAGCTTGTTAAGTTTTTCATGAAACCAGAAACTGTTCTGAAGGGTTGAGACTTTATATCCAGATCTGAAAGGCGAGATGTTTCAACGAAGAAATTTCCTATTCCTCATGGAAATTAAATCCTTCGTGGAGAAAAAGAAAACTAATGAGGGTAGGGAAAGACAGGTCTTACTGAGGTCTTTCCAAGTACTTTTCACCCTACATGTCCAAGATACATGTATCAAGTGCTGGCAAGAAAGCAGATCTAATTTTATTTTCTTGCAACTCATCCTTTGCAGAAAGTACATTTTTCCTTATGCCAAATACAGAACTTCACTCCAGATAATTTGGATGTTGAACCAATTGGTCCCATTCTGTATAGAAAGGATAAGTTAACACTTTTAATCAGATGTGGGGAGGACTGGATGTGCATATATGTAAAGTTACCTTGAAAAATCATGTAAAAATTAAAATGATGGCTCTGTCTGTCACTTGAGATGCTGGGTCCTGGATCCCAGCAAAGCAGAACTTTTGTGAATGAAGCCATCACTTAGACACTGCCACTCAGGCATACAGAGTGACAGCTTGCCAGGGGCTTTGCTCATGAAGGCCAACAGACAATACTGCCAGATTGGTGACAATAAAGATTTACACCCTCCACCATACCCAAACATGGACTGAAGCAGAGAAATACCAGAACATGGAATAAAGCAGAGAAAGTTTTCGGTAAAGTACATAGACACCTAATCCAGAAAGTAACCTCTTAAGGAAAATGGCTGAGCACCAATAGCCATGACAGGTAAATAATGAATCCCTTTTAAATAATACTGCTGAAAAACCTGCAAGAAGGTCACTCATCTCAGGTACCAAAAAATTAGCTGATGTTAGTGCAATTACTACACTGGACAGACATCAAAGAATATTCATCTTCAACAATCTGACTAAGCATTGAGTAAAGGACACCAGTATTTGCTTTTACCATCTGACTATGAAGTAATCTTGACAGAAAAGCCTGATTTCACAACTAAAAGATATACCCTGATGTTGCAAAAGAAACGTTAGCGATTGGGTTAATTCAAAGGGAATATCCATTACAAAAACTATATTTAATGGAGCCTTTTCTGACTCAGGAGGCCCCTGAGCTGCAAATGGCTGGTAGCCAAGTACTGAGGGCAATACATCAATCTTCCAATGCTCTATTATGTTCTTCCTCACTCAGCTGTTTTAGCTGCTCTAGAAATGAAATAATAAGCTATATGGGCTTCAGTTGTGACCAAGCACTGATGCTCTCAGGTAATAATGACTACCCAAAGGTAGAAATAGGGTGAGAAAAAAATATTCTTATCTTGAAGGCAGGATCTTTAGCATATGCCACTTGTCAGTTAACAAAACACACAAAACCCTCCCCCCACCCAAAAATTTCATCTGCTTCAGAAGCATTTCTGTAAGTTTTTGAAGCAGCTTTTCCAAGAAGAGGGAAACCAGGCAAGTCACAGCTTTAATTCTCAGAACATATTTCTACAGTTGCAAAAAAAATTCCACCCAAAAGCAAATATGAGCTGAAAGTTGACCTTTATGCTGGAAACTTGATAAAAATCCATGCAGTCCCTATGCAAGGCAGAGTTAGATTATTGTAATACCCCTCCTGACTGAAACCCATTAGCCCAGAGAAACAGCTGGTCAATACTGAGGATTACCTTTAGCTGTGCCTTTTCATTTTTGGCTCCTAAATATACTTGGATAAATATTTATATGCCTAAAAATCCTATTTGGCATAAGAAAGTTTTAACTCTGTTCAAAGTGTGGCTCTGATGAGTTTGGATGCCACCCAATAGAACCATCAGTGGAGACTGAAGCTTTTTAGCACATCTGGACAGGGATCTTGAGGCCCCTGTAGGAACTGCAGTGCAGTCCCAGCAGACTTAGGACATGCAATAGGAAACTGAAGAGGTCCAACTGTCCCCTCTGCTCCTGAGGACATGTCCCAGCTATTTTTTGCCCCAGCACTGTTATTCAAAGAGCCATTTGCACTCCATGTAGTCAAGAAAACCTGCTGTTTTCTGCCAGACTAAGGAATTTTACAAGCTGATCCTGGCTCAGACAAGCCACAAGAGGTGGCAACAGACTGGGCAATAGCAGGACCTCAACTTTTGTCCATACATAGTAAGATATTAGGTTAGCTCAGCTGACAGCATATAATTAAATATTAGGGATAAAACATCCCTATATGCTTGAGACAGTTCATCTGAGCTAGGAGCTGTGGTCAGAGAGAGATCCCAAATTGGTAGTCACAGAAACAATACACCCAGCTCACTGGTCTGGAGTGAAGAGAGGGGAAAAAAAGAAAAGTACCCTGTTTCCAGCCAGGGTAGGTGTAGTATGAAAGAGAGCCCCTGCAGTATTTAAATACAAATGGGCCCAGAGTTTTATCCTGACCTTCAGGGAAACACAGGGAAAAACTCCACATCTATTTATTCTTTTTACTCTATGCTTTTGATAACATCTGACAGGAAACCATAATCTTTCTTTTAAATAGGCTAGTATCTGTTGTTACACTTCCACATGCAGAAGTATTCCCAAAGATTTTGTGGCAGATAAAAATACTGACTTAATAGGTCTTGCACAATGATATTCTGAAAGTAGCAGGTCCTGAAATAAGACTTGCGACAGTCACAACACATTAGTCTTATTTTCAACAAATATGTTAAGAAGTTTTTATCTCTCCAATTATAGAATTAAGCCACCATAGTTATAAGGTTCTAAGGTATTATTTTTCTGTTCTATAATTCTAGCTGTTTGACTTCACTTAAAGAAAACCTTTTAGTTATTCTTGCCAGACCACCATTTCTACTGCTTTAGCACCTGGCCTAAGGACACAGAATAGTTTTGTCAACCTGTATTAACAGATTACCCCTCCTCCCTCTTCCCCACCCCCACTGAAATGAAAAGCAATGAAGAAAAGTTTAACTTACAACAATTACACTGAAAGGAATAATTATTCCTGCTAACAATTTATAAGAAATGGTGTCCTCTTTGTATGGATACCGGATGGATTCATCACTACAGAAAACGCCTCTCTGGAAGGGGGTACGTCGTGAACTGAGAATTGCAAAAGGCAAGCCAGCTGCCAAAAAGGAATACAAAAAAAATTACAAAACCAAAACAAACTGGCAATGATCATACCCCCATATTTCCAAAGAAAAGTGCATAAAGAGGAATGGGCATGCAGGAAGTTAGACATTTATGCACTTCCCTTGGCCAACAACTACTGCCCTGACTTTGCAGCTTCCAGGAAGGATTGCTGAATGAAGGAGAGCAAGGCAGGATTCCTCTCATCTTCATGCTTGTGGCACTTCAAGTATGGAAGAATGCCAAAACCATGACTGAGCAAATAGTTCAGTGACAACCACTGAGGTGTTCAATCTGCTGCTACTGGCACAATTATCAAATTTTTCTTTCCATTCCAGCAAGCAACAGCTGCACCTGTACACCTTCTCTGGACAGCTTTCCAAGTCAGAAGAGCATAAATTGCATTGCATGAAAGCAGAAAAGGAGTGCAAGTGCAGAGGGAATTTTTGGGAATATGGAGAAAAGGAAATTACACATGCATGCAATTCCCTCACTTCCTCACACACTTGGTGTTTTCCTAGAAGGACCTACAGCCTTAAGGCAGGGAGATTTTATTCCCACCTCTTCCACCAAAGAGGATGCCTTTGGCTTAATCTAATACCTACAGGACGCAATACTACACTGCACAATTCTGCACACTATTGCATGTCAAGGTACCCACAACACAAACCAAAATTAGTCACTTGAACACCAAAGACTTTTTCAAAAAACACAAAACAGGATGCAAATTACCATAAACTGGTAGAATACCATTTCTAAATCCTGTTCTTCCATTGTTAACACACATACAACATCTGCACAATCTGTTTTGTGTACAGGATCTCTTGGAAAACAAGCAGTGGAGGACTACAAAGACCATTTAATTTAAAAATAATCTTTAGCTTAGGCATGTAGAGCCCAGTAGTATAAAAGCCCTTGACTTTATCCTCAATATTCAGCTGTGTTGCACATAAAATGCTTGCCACTTTAAAGTTACACAACAAAAATTATCTGGAGTCAATGCTCCCATCCAATATTAAGGAATTAGAAAGAAAAAAAACAGTCTCCATCCTTCCTTCCCAGCAGAAATAAATGTTGTTGTAGTTTCAGTTCTCTCCTCAAGACCTCTGTGCTAAGACATAGCCTCTCTCCCTTTCAAGATACACAGCTAGCCCCATAATAAGCATGTGCAAATAGAACTAAAGATGTAAAGAGCAGGAGAAGAAGTGAACAAAAAAAGATACCAAGCATCAAGAGAACTGTTAGGGAAGAGACCTAGGATCCTTTCCAATCCTCTTCCCTCTTTCCCTCCACCTATGAAGTCATCCAAACTAAGCCTGACTCCTGGGACCATCACAAGTGATATAACTGGGATTTTACTAACAATTTGCTATCAGTTTTGTTCTGCACACCATAAAGTGCTTAAAAGTGCTTCAGCTTGAAAACAAAAGGGCAAATAAACTAATGGCTCAAAAGGTGATAATTTCCCTGAAGTGAACTCTGGTGTATGACACAACCTTATTCCTTGATCA